TCATCTCCCAGGAGCAGCTGACAGACCAGGATATTTACATCACACAGTGTGTGACATCCTTCACCTCATTGGTGCACTTAGATCACAGGAACTCATTTAGCCTGAAGCAGGAAAATCAGACCCAGGCAGCACCATTGCTGCTCTTTCTTTCTTTCTTTCTTTTTCTTTCTCTTTTTCTTTTCTTTCTTTCTTTCTTTCTTTCTTTCTTTCTTCCTTTCTTTCTTTCTTTCTTTCTTTCTTTCTTTTTTTTGCTGTTTTTTTCTTATTTGTTCTTGGTTTTTGTTTGATTTATTTATTTATTTATTTATTTATTTATTTATTTATTTATTTATTTATAATGCCGAATGCTGTTTATTGAAGGAGGGAAGAGGTCTTAAATACAGGCTTACAGCATAATGGGAGAACACCCGAGGGCAGAAGTTTGCTACTGATGTTTTACAATCTTGCATCTGAGCTGTTAATGGCCATTATGCAGAATACACAGACAAGGAACTTCCCTGAAGTGCTCAGGAGGATGGGACCTGGCAGGGAATTAGCATAAGGAGGATATCAAGGTCAAGGTCAGCAAGCAAGGCAACAGCTACCAAAAATGGAGGCCAGGGACCTACAGGTCCCCCTTTTACTAAAAAATGAGCTTCTGACTTAGGTTGTGTGGGATGTCAGCAGGTCACCTTACCCCTCATGGAGATGCCTGCCTAGGCCACACAGGTGCTCTGTCTTAGGTGGTGAGCACCCCCCAGGAATTACCCGTCTCTGAATACTCATTATCATACAGGCTCAATCATGTGTGAGCTGCAGAGTTAACTGCTGCCAAAGATCTCAAAGTGGCATTGGGCTTGCAATCTGTGTGTTCAATACAGAAAAGACCAACAGAGGTCCTATCCCACCCATAGCCAGTAGGCTAAAGGCAACTGAGCCATTCCCTTCCTTAACGAGCCTTCCTGCAAATTGGAGTCCTTGTAAGATGGTATCCCAAAAGCAAATGGAACTTGAGTTTATAAATTTATAATTTTCAAAGCCAATCAAAATGTATATAACTATTGAATTAAATTTATCATGCCCAATAGAATGAAAGATTAACTAACTGTGGTAGCTACTTTTGCTGCCAGGGTCTCCACTATGCTAGCTGTAGTAAGCAATTATGAAGTGGTAATCCCAGAAACAGTAGCAGCGGTGGCCGCCACTGCTATAACAGCAACAACGGCAGCAGCAATGTCAAATTCTCTTCTGGAGTGTGTGGACATCCACTGGCATGGATACAACTCCAGGAACACAAAGCGCCAAGGCCCATTTTTCTTGATCCCAGCATGACTTAGGCTGGCAGCTCTGCAAAAGAACAACTAAGAACCATAAAGAAAAAGCAGGCAGCTCATAAGGAGCATAACTAATGGTCTTATAATGGCTACATTCAGGCTCATAAATTTTAAGGTATCTTCAAAGAGGGGGCTAAATGAATTTCAGGAGGCCAATAAATGTTGCACAGAGCCACTCCTGAAAAGTAGGTACTACATCATTTTGAGGAGGATTGTGAAAATGAAAAGGCTTAGCTGGCATGCTACTGTTAACAAATGGAGGTCAGTGACCTCCAGGGTTATCCTTAATCTCCAAGGTGTCTGGGTGACAGGTTCTCCAACATACTTGAAAAAGCAGCTACCATATATTACCTTCTGGAGAATCCAACCTCATGGCTACAGTTCCTAGGCTTATGTTAATGTTTGCCAAGGTTGGCCATATTGGGCTCTCAATCCCCATTGGCATCAGAAGGGGAGAGGTTTTCATGAAGGCCCAATAGGTCTCTGCCATGCTGGGATTCGGCATCAGCCACAGGGCACACACAGTGCTCAGGAACCCAAAGAGGAACCTCATTGTCCTGAGGAAAAACATAAACAGATCCCCAGGCCCACACCAACACCAGATTGGGTCTCCTCCAAGTGCTAATAGAAAGATCCTTCCATCGTTCCAGAGGGTAATTTGCAACAGGAGACCTCCAGTGCTTATCTGCAGTGGATACTCCAGCAGAATTCACCAATAAAAAATGTAAAATATATAAAACAAGGGAAAGAATAGAATGTAGAGAGGAATGATCAGTCCCTAGTTCCCTCTTTTTTTACTTTAGTAATATTTTTTTTGTTTTTTTTTAAATAGTTGCATTTTTCTTTTATTTTTATTTTTCAAATTAATTAATTAATTTATTTTTCTATTATCAGCTTGATACAGTATGTATTCTTATCTTAATTGTGAAATGTTTCATTGAGGCTTGCTCAGTAATTCAGTAACAACCAAAACTTATAAGCCACAGTCATCCTAGGGTCCCCCATGCTATATATATATATATATATATATATATATTCTCCATGGTTGTGTGGGTTGTACTCTGATTGTTCTTTATTTTATATCTAGAATTCACTTATGAATGAGTACATACCATGCTGCTCTTTCATGATGTCATACATGACACACAGAAGAGAGGTAGAGAAATGAACAGAGGCAGAATGTGGGACAAATAATGTCCAGGTTTGACCATCGGGCCACAAAAGTTACCCTGGGAGGGTCCTGAAGCAAACAAGAGGAAGCCACCACCTGAGCCAATCAGTGACCAGAGCACAGTTGTCTCTGTCCCACTCCTGACTGTGACCCATGCTGCTATCCTGACTCCCATTCGGGGCTTCTTTCAGACCGAGATCGAGTTAGAGTAAAGAACCTTCTCTGTGCCCCAATCTAGGGTGACATATTTTCCTAAGTGGGTTGGGCAGGGGAAGAGCTATGCACAAGAACAGGAGCTGACTTGGGGCTTCAGGCCAGCAACAAGCATGGAGTCCCCCACAGGCCCCAGTGGCATACACATGGGCAGGGAAGGGGGTGGCAGGGGCAGCTGAGGGAGGAGACCCAGGGTCTGGTCCTTGCTGAGGAGCTGCATGCTGTGGACTCCATCTCCTCTCACTCAGCTCCTGCCTCCCTCTGCCACACTGGAGGGGGCAGCAGAGAGCGCCCGCCTGGATTCCACTGGGACATCTGAGCCTTTGGTCTTCAGAGGTTTGGATCACCAGATAGGACATGGACTGCACCTTCCCTGACCCTAGAGAGAGATGAGCTGACATGTGCAGTGTACCCAGCAGTGCCCAGGACACAGGTGCCATTTGTTGGATGGCTCAGGAGTCATGTTTCCATTTTCCTCATGGCTGCCCATCCTAACCAGGGACCTCTGGCATGAGGAAGACATTGCCTCCATATCTCCATGTTGAAGACTTTTGGGGAAGATGTTGACTCACCAAGAAAGAAAGACTGAAAAGAGACAGAGGCCACCATGTGACAATTTCATGGCCCAACTTAGTCGCCTCCCAAGGATTCTCAGACCATTGATCAGCGCTCTCAGATTGGATCTGAGAAATCTCCAAGTGTGGCTCGCTTTCCTGATCAACTGGATGACCTCAGACATGAAGTGAACACTACATAGGCTCCAACTACCCTCCCCCACTGCCCTTTCCTCACCCACAGGGCTCCAGCTGCCCCTTATTCACCCACAGGGGCTACAGCTGCCTCCCCACAACTGCAGGAGACACCCTCACACTGCTCACACACCCATGGGAGCCATTGACTGGTAGTGACAATCGGCCCCTCATGTCTTGACAACAAATTATTCCGTGAAGCTTCTGTGAGGTCTTATTCCTCTCTGAAGCAATGTCCTCAATCTCTCAAAGCTTTGCATGTGGGGCAGACAAAACGTTCTACTACATGTCGTCATGGTGCACCTTGAAGCAGGGATCCACTGGATTCTATTCATCATGCTCAGACCAGCAGAACTGCTATGTTCAGCTCTTGGGCGGGACTAAACATCTCTGGCCCCTCCTTACACTTGGCTAGACAAATCACAGAAACTAGAGGCAAAGTACAAAGGTCACCATTGAGAGTCTGTTATAAGGTGGCAGGTTCCAAGCTGTTGGGACTTCTTGATTCCAGGAGGCTGCTGTGAGTGTTGGACATTGTTTTCCCTGAAGCCTGGGCAGCATTAGGGCAGGCATGGAGCTGCTGACTGGCTGTGGCCTGGGGTCTGTGGCCATATTCACAGTCCTCTTCATATTACTGGTGGATCTAATGCACCGGCGCCAGCGCTGGACTTCTCACTACCCACCAGGCCCTGTGCCCTTGCCTGTGCTGGGCAACCTGCTGCAGGTGGACTTCAACGACATGCCATACAGCTTGTACAAGGTGAGGGAGTCCATGGTAGACAGTAACCGAGGTTGCAGTGTCTGTGGAACCACAGGTTAGATAGGGAGCTGGGTCCCCAGCATGGGACAGGCTTAACAACTTCCAGGTGGCAGTCACTGCCAGATTTGAGGACACTCGGACTTTTTTGGTGCAAAGTTTTTGGGGACAAATTCCAGGAGGTAAGGTAGGGTGTCACAGCAGAGTTCAGTTCTAGTTAGCCAGGGCAGCAATCATGAAGACCCCACGTCCCTTATGATCCTGTCACAGATGAGGTCTTAGTGTGGAGCAAGATTGTGGGACTAGTTCAGCAAGTCTGTCAGGAGATTGAGTACAGGGAGAGGGGCTGTGGCTACTTGAATCTCGTGCTGCTCTGTGGTCTCTGGCCTCATGCCTCACTCCCCATCTCAAGGAA